AACCAACCATGGTGGTCCCAGTGGTTATTGGCACTTAGAAAATCTGTGCATTGACAAAATATCCACCTGTCAATTGCAAAGGCCACACTGCTTAGATCTTCAAATAAACTATACTGGTACATTATGACATCCTAAGATCCTGGGAAGAACTTGATGCATATGAAGGCCAACACCAGCTAAAAACTAGAAGATGTGGCTTTGTTGTAAACAGATATTAATAATAACAACAGAGTAGAAGAGAAAGAACTGGTTGGGGGCGGGAGCACAAAATACAAAGACCTGCAAATAGAAGTAGAACAATTGTGGCTAAAGAAAATGAAGATAGTGCTAATAGTAATAGATGCCTAAGTCGCAATGCCAAAACATCTGGAGCACCACCTGAACACTAAGTCAATTGCAAAGGGTAGCTTTATCTGGAGCATCTTCTATCCTGCCACAATACCTTTAACACCATCAAGCATCAACATCTGCCTATCTTAGGTCCTTAGGAAGAACTTAATATATGGATTCAAATTTAAAATCCAGTATAAACATCTGGTTGACTGTGTGACAAATCATCATCATTATTATTACCACCACCACCATCATCCCTTTAACCCCATAAAACAAGAACATCTGCCTACCACAGGTCATTGAGAAGGTCTCAATAGGTGGTTAAAAATGCCAAATCCAATCTCAACTGGTTGATTATGTAACAAACTGTAATAATAATGTCACATTACAGAAGAAATGTGCATCTGACACACTTATGAAATAAGTTTAACATTTTTTTCTACTATTAGCACAGCACCAGCAGATAGCAATAAAATATATCCAATAGATATGCAGAGACGATACAGAATCACTGGTTGTGTTATATTCCGACAAAAACCTTATCAAATATCATGTCTAAAATTCTGTATGTATCATTAAGTTAATATCCCATACTTGCATGTTAAGACATTGGAATGCAGCTGCAGATGAGTGAATAATGCATAAGTACCTTCTTTGTCATTGTTCTCTCGAGCTACTTTTGTCTGTATTCCCCTTTATTGAAGAAAAATGTTGAACAAACAGGAAATTTTGCATAGCTTGAATCACAATAATAGTATGGTAGTTTGGAAAGCAAGAATTATGTAACAACTAGTAAGATTGATCCTTGTAATTATGGGAGAGAAGAATAACCAGTAGGAGCTTTAGCATTAATGTTCATCCCGGTTGTTGCTGACCTATTTTTGCTTCTTTCTAGTCAAGAGAAGAAATTTGTTCAAGATTTCTGTCAAAAATAGGGAAGAATGAGAAAAAAAGCTGCTGTCCTTGATTGTGATATGACAAAAACTTGACCTTCTCTTTGAAAAAGGAAGATAAGTAGCCCTTATACAGATAGCAAGTCAATTATAAACATTTATTCATTTGGGGTACAGTAACATAAGTACTAGAAATTCCATTTCAAAATGACCATTGCCTCAAACATCCAAGGACCATGAAGTGTTCTTGTAATAGTCTAGAATGTGGCCATGTAGCAATCAAACCACAAAGAACTCTATTCTGCAGCAATAGCTGAATCAGAGATCCAGCCAAAACAAAAGATTGCTCTGCTGAATGCTACATGCTGTCAAATTTAGTTTATCAGCCTCATAGTTATTACAATTTATTCTGTTGTCTGAGCTTAAAATGTCACTGGGAATTTATTAATATGGTGCTACTTCTGATAAGGGCATATTAAAGGTTATAGAAATAATATATTATCGGAGACTAAGCGTGTACATCACTCAACATGCATTCTTTAGCAGTAATGGTTCGTTTATGAAATATAAATGATAATATTACCTAAATTGTTTCTTAAGAAGTGTGTATGTGTGCATACATGCATGTTTTTGAATATTCTGATGAACTTTATGAATGGTGCAACCCAATTACATGTTGATTTTTATATCTGTGGCTGAAGAATGTAATTTTATTTGACCTGACAAAATGAATGAAGTGAACAACATAAGTATTTCAATAAAAAGGTCTCTCAAATCTGTTTTATAGGCATAGTTTTTAAGCAATGTAAATTTTGAGTCTTTAAGTAAATTCTTCCAAGGCTACCTGGCTGTGGATGTTTGGGTCACTCAGATCTGAGGATATTCCATCTTTGATCTTGGAACAGGGTAGCATTTTGTCATTTAATCTTCTTAATGTGATCTTGGTGTCTTCCTGGGTTTGTCAGTCACTCATGCTTTAGTCAACTCATGGTTTGAGTACTAGACTAGACTATTGTAACAACCTCTACATGGTATGTCCCTTGAAGATCACTTGGTTCAGAATATGGTGGTGGAAGCAGTAATGGGCATGTCCATTTAATACGTCTGCCTCACAAGCTGTGTTAGGTGCCAGTTTGCTTCCTGGTGAGATTCAAGATGTTGATTGTTACCTATAAAGCCCTACATAGCATAGGACCCAGTTATTTGAGGGACCACCTTATCTCCCATAACATCTACCCAGCTAAGTCAATCCTGCAGAGTTGGAATATTCTGGATTCCTTCAATTAAACAATAGCAATAGCACTTAGATTTATATACTGCTTCATAGTGCTTTACAGCCCTCTCTAAAAGGTTTACAGAGTCAGCATATTGCCCCCAACAAGCTGGGTCCTCATTTTACCGAACTTGGAAGGATGGAAGGCTGAGCCAACCTTGAGCCTGGTGAGTTTCAAACTGCCAAATTGCAGTCAGCCGGCAGTCAGCAGAAGTTGTCTGCAGTTCTGCACTCTAACCACTGTGTCACCACGGCTCTCAATCTCATCTATTGGGACTCTGGAAGCATACCCTCTCTGTAACAGTACCTGCCCTTTGGAATGAGGTTCCCCGACATTGTAGATGCCCCCCCCCATTCTGTTGTTGTTTATAAGAACCATGAGGCCTTGGTTGTTCACTCTTTTTGGGTCTTCAATTTTCACAATTTTTCTGAATCTCTTCTCGTTCTGCATCCTTGAATATTTTATTTCTGGTAATAAATCTCTGTTAGTCTGCTAATTGTTGTTGAGTAATATTTAAGTCTGGATGAATTCTTTTCCAGTGTTCAAACATTCACTTTAAATATTCATGTTGGTTCCAGTTTATAATAGGAGGCCATAATGGTGCAATTTTCAAGCATGGTATACTTTTATCTTGTCTGTGATTGTTTTTCATCCAGTAATCCTACAGGCCCTGCTTACCCAGCCATATCTGTTGAGTCCTGCTGCCCACTTGTTGACAGATACCCAGGAACTAACATCTGTTCTGACCCAGCCTTAGCAAGTGATGATAAGCCGCTTACTTGCAAGTACAAACAAACCCCTTTTTCAAACAGAGTAGGAGCAGTCTTGTATTCATGTGGATCAACAAAAATCAAATGTAATTAGTTCCAACAGACCTGGTCCAGAAATCTCAATTGCTTGCTGTATCCTAAAAGTGAATGATTGTCTGCCACTCCCAAACCCCTACTATTTATCTCCCAGCCAGGGAGGGCCTGGCTAGCATCCACATCCACTTTTCCTTGAGAGCTGTCTTATTGTTTTCCTTTGCTCAACTCTATTTTCCTTTCTAGGCATATGCACATCTGGGATGGGCCCCATCCGTTCCTTCCCCTTACTCAGTTCAGGCCCTGAAGAAAGCTGCCTCTCTACCTAGGGAAGGATGGAAGACCCCGGCTCTGCCTCTGCCTCTGTTGCTGTTTCCTTATCAGAGCCTTCTAAAGGCTCTGAAGTTGCCCAGGCTTTCCATCACTTTCTCCGCAGCTAGCTCTGCTGGCAGCCAATGGGCCACAACAACATCTGATGCAGTCCTTGTTGACCTGAATGACAACCAATCCAGTATAAGTTTCTTTTTTCTGGTTCTTTTTTTTTTTCATATTAAATGGGCTGACACATATTATGCTAAGACTCTTCTAGTAGGATACAAAGTGCCAGCACAGTTCTCAACCTCATCAGATTATTATGGTTTATCACACAGTCAGTCGGAGTGGCATTTTTATCCACCTATTGAGTTATCTTCAGAAAGCCCTTTCTTAGTTCCACTGTGAAGGAGGCATCTAAAGAACTATGCATTTCAGGTCACTGTGTTTTAGCTTTAGATTTTTTCTGTAATTTATTTATTTATTTATTCAATTTATATACCGCCCTTCTCCTAGTGGACTCAGGGCGGTGCACAGCCAAAACTAAAATACATAACAATACAAAATTTAAAATTAATTGAAAGAATTATATACTTTGGCCCGAATTAAAACAGTGTGAATTAAAACCCATGAGTGGCTACTCTGGAATATAGGACAGGCCAATTCTGAATAAATCATCCCAATACATATAATTGCAGGCTGAAATCTAGAGGTAGGAATGGAGGTAGTGACTAGGGCTGAATTGACTCATCCAGGAGCATTTTGTTTTGATCACTGTCTATCAGTTCAGAAGTCAGGTGTAATCCCTGGCAGATAAAATCTATTTGACACGCTAACCAGAAATCCAAGATAGGGCTTTTGACCAAAAGTCTTCAAATATTTCATTAAAGAATCCAGAAATAAACAGTTGTATTTTTCGTACTCTATAGAATCCAGAAATAAGCAGTTGTATTTTTTGTTCTCTATTGTTCACTTCTCAGTTTCTCACTAACAAGATAATGTACAAAGTATTGTCAAGTGTTTGTTCTGCACTGCTCTTAACATGAACTTGCATTATCATTTAACAAGTCAGCTGCAAGGCTCCAAGAGTTGGTCTGTATTTGTTGTTGAATCTGGAATGTTGCCTTGGTTAACAATTTTTTTAAAATTTCTCTTTCCTTAATTCCAACAAAAAGAACAATATGATTAACAACTTTTGTAACCCAAATATTCATCGTATTATCAACCCAATTCATAAATGGCAACCCTATTATTTTCTGGGAAATAATAGTAAGCTTACTGGATCTCACTTTTTTATCAAATATGCATAGGATTGGCCTGCTAGAATACTAGGATAGTAAAATTCACTAAGAAATCTGATACTAAATTGAACAGATTAAACTCACCAGTTTTCTCAGTCTTGTGTTTTGGACTCTCTTGTCCTGGAAGGCATGGGCAAGGCCCTTCACATCGAGCTATAATATTTTTGCCAGATGTGCAGGCATGAAATTCCAACTTGCACTGTAAACACAACAAAACAAACACAGTTTATTTGATGTAAAATTGGAATGGGACACAGATATGAAAATAAACATTGTCATTAGAATAGAATCTTGAGAGTAAGTTTTTATGGTCTGACTTTCAAGAACTTGTGGTACTCATTGATGCTTCTTGCTATGCCCATGTAACACCAATACTCTGAGAGTACCATTGGCTCCCAATTGCATCTGAGTGCAGTTCAAGGTGCCTAGTTATTTTCTCTAAGCCCTGCCTGGCATAGAGTTTCATTACTTGAAAGGCTACCTTTTTTCCAGAGTATCTGCCTTCCCTACAAGGTCTGATAGAGAAGGTTTACTTCAGGTCCCTTCATTGAAACAATTCATCTTGTGGGAACCAGGATGCATGTCTTCTATCTTATGGAGCAACCTTCCTCTTAACATATAAAGACTGCCAAGACCTGACTCTATCCCTAGGAAATGATGCTTTGGTGTCCTGATTGGATGGTGGTGGTACTGCTATTTGAATCACCATCTACTTCTGTCATTACTGTTTGTAAGATATCCATTATAACTTAATATTCTTTTCATTAGACTTTGTCACCTTGGTTGAGTTGGAGGGCTATATAAATGTTTTAAGAAAGTAAATGAGTATGTAAGTCCCTAAAGTTGGTTTTAAGGGATTATTCAAATTCACAATCCAAAATATAGGCAAGGAACAGAATACACCTACTTACGTAGTAAAAATTTAAATACATCTGAATTGAATTAATTACAATTAGCTAGATTTAATTAGTCTCTCTTAAATATTTAGAAACCAGAGTCCATCAACAAGTTTTGAAAGGATTCTTAAGGACTTGCTCACCTTGGATGACTGCATGAATTTCCCAGTTGTTGGTTTTACTCTTTTTCCCTAGATAACAACTTTGTACAAGCTGTCTATTATGAACCCCCACAACAAATGACATAAATTAGCCACTTTTAGAGAAAAAGCATAGGTTGGAAAACTATCTGTGAAAGTGAGTAATTTAGTAATCTTAAAGCATGTCTATTTGAATTCCTAAACAAGATTCTATATCTTATTGGTAGTGCTGAATCCATGCTTACAACTCTTGTGCAGGAACCAAAGCAAGTACATGAGATAAATCAATCATTAAACTGGTGAAGCACTGTGTGATTTGCAAAATTATGTATTTTGCTTTCTATTCTTCTACAATAAAAAAGCAGAATGTTGCTGTGAGATTAATGCCTCCTACTTTGAAAATGCCAGAAATAGCTTGCTGCTGCTTGTGTGTATTTTTGTAAGCGAGTTCACCTCCCCAGGCTTTAATCTAGTAGCAGGAGACCATTTATTCTTTGACAACATTCTGTCCCAATGATATTATCTCCTAGGTGCTTTCTGGACTTCAGAGGACTCTGAGGACTGAAAACTCCATATGCTATTCTGCTCTTCAGTTTTAGAATATTTATGGATACAGCCTGCTATCTGCTTGTGGATAAATTCAGAGCACCTTTGATGCTATTTTCTTTTTCTATACACATGTAAGAACCACATGTAAATCCCACATGTGAATGTGGCATTGTGGGTACTTGGATTCTAGTCAAAAGAGGACGATAATTCAAATTATAAAATGACAGTGGCTGACAAGGTAAAGAGTGGATAGAAAAACTCAGATCCAAATATAAGTTAAAAACAGAAAGATTGAGATAAAATGCCTGAAGAATAATAAAAAAGAAGAAAATGAAGGTTCCTTACCACCCTCACCTTTTCCCAGATAGTCAGTTATAGTTTCAAGATCATCAGTTTCTTTTATAATAAATTTTGTTGGATCAAAGCATCAGTCATATATACATTTCAACTGCACAACCATTCAAAGAATGGAATGGAATGGAATAAATTATTTAGCGGCCAAGTGTAACTGGACACACAAGGAATTTGTCTCTGGTGAATAAGTTCTCAGTGCACATACAAACAACAAAGTAATATAATCACAGGATACCAACAGGAGAAGGTAGTAAAACAAATGAGAGGCATAATAGTAATACAGCCCTACTGTCACCTTTGGAAGCCATATTAACACTGGAAGCTTCCACTCTGCCACCTTCTTGTGTGTGGAAAATTAGGAGATGGGGGGAAATTTAATAGCAGGGATGTAGTTAGACAAAATAGCATTCTTCTTTTTGGTCACGATCAAGGCAGTCCTGCATCTGGAGAAGGAGTGGTTGAAGTGGTGTCTCAAGATGGGATGGAATGATGGGTGCAAGGGCTGGATTTGGGGTTTTGATTTACTGAGGGAAAACCCAGAACTCTCAGATTTGGGTTTTTCCAGCTGTGCTGGTACACCTACTCTAATAAATGGGAACTTTGAGAAAATGCCTGTCTCAGAGTTTTTAACTGGAGTTAGGGTTTTCTGGAATGCTGACACCTACTACATAGGTAAATATTGTTAAAATTTAGGAAGGTTATCAGCTAAAATACTCCAAACAAATTTTTAAGAATTAAAAAAATTGAGGTTCCAATATTGAATGAATTTATGAATTACAGCATGGTCTTTTGGTGGATACTTTGTATGGGTATTTATTTTGATAACTGCTACCAAATGTAGCCTTTCTATTCCATGAAATAGTAGCAAAAATATACAGAAAACTCTGCTACCAGCTTGCGGTAGCCCAGAGTTTTTCAGTCCAGAAATGATATTTGGGTAGCTATTTAAGAATGATCTCTAGGTTTTGGAGAGATAATAATAGTTGTAGCTGCATGAGAAATAGAGTTTACATTATTCATCATTAATTATAATGATATGTTATTGAAGCATATTTTCTTAAAAATCTTTGAAAGTATATCTGACTTACAATTACAAAAGTCTATGAATATGGTTAAAGAAATAGTTTGATCTGAAATAAAAAATCTCTTTGTTGAAAACAAATTAGGCACTTCAGATATTCTGATAATGCTATGATTTATCTTTTTGGTTTGGCATGATCTTTTCTTGTTCTTGTTGCTATTAAAATTGTATATATTGTTTTATTAAGATATCAGTTAAAGTCTTTTTAATCGAAGCAGACTGGATCCTCATATAATATCTTGAATTACAGTCTCTTTGATGTGGCAGTAAGCTCCTGTAGAAAACCACTGGCTCTGTATTTTTTAAAATGGTCTGGATCAGTGGTAAAATCCAATTTTTTTTACTACCGGTTCTGTGGGCGTGGATTGGTGGACATGGTGTGTCTTGGTGGGTGGCTTCATGGGCATGGCGGGGGAATGATACTGCAAAATCTCCATTCCCACCCTACTCCAGGGGAAGGATACTGTTGTGACTCTGACTCCCGAGCCTGTCTTATCAGAGGGAGAAAACTCTGAAGGTGAAGGAGAGGAGTTGGCCAGGCCTCCGTTTCCAGGACCCTCCTCTCTGGCAATGCCTCAGGTGTCTCCCGAGGGAGAAGAGATTCGCCAGGAGCCAGGTATCTCTGAGCAGTCACAGTCAGACAGTGACGGAGATAAGTCTTGGCTGGTTCCACGCCAGCGTCAGAGAGACAAGCGCACACAGCAGAAAAGGAGGCATGCCAGAGGTTAAGCTGAGTCACTGGACCACACCCCACAGGGGATAAAAGGGGGTGTTGTGGCCATTCAGGCTCTGTGACGGACAAAACTAAACAACTAGCGAGTCGCATTGTATCTCTGAAACTACATTATCTGCCTGCCTTGGATTTAATACGGACTGGACTTGACAATTCTTTGACTTTGTATATTTGTTTTGGTTTATCTGACGGAGGAGGAACACCTCCCTCTGTGAGTAAAGTTCTTGGCAAGCATCTACTGGGTTGCTGCCAATCCTGTTATTGAAGGAATTTATTGTCTGCAAGTTTTATTTAACCCCTGGCTGATTGTTTGTGTGTGTGTGGGAGACGGGGACAGAACAGATACTGCAAAATCTCCATTCCGTCCCCACTCCTGGATATTGCAAAATCTCCATTCCCATCCCACTCTGGGGCCAGCCAGAGGTGGTATCTGCCAGTTCTCTGAACTGCTCAAAATTTCCGCTACCGGTTCTCCAGAACCTGTCAGAACCTGCTGGATTTCACCCTGATCTGGATTTGCTTATTCTACAGTCATGGCTTCAGATAGTAAAATGTACAGAGTTAATTCTAAATGTTCCTTTTTGCATGGAATGGCTAGTGGCACTCCTTTCTCTGGAGGAAGAAAAAGTTTTCAAAGGAGATTATACCTTCACGAGCTGCAGTTCCAAACAAACTTCCTACCCATGCCACCACAGCTTTGTCACCAGGAGCGAAAATTTCACCCATGAGGCAGATGTTTCCTGCACTTATTCTGTTAGAACATCTTGTTTAGCCATTATAAACACGAAAGAAAAGGTCAGGATGCTGGCTTCCCTCTATTTTCAGAGTACTAATTTGGTGCTAGCCAATTCTCAACCAAATTTAAAGAACTATAACAAAGTCAGATAATTGTGTGGAAGGTGGATGTGTGGGCACCAGTCTGATCTCATTGTTTTAATTCTCCACGGATATATCCATCAAACATGTGTAATCAAATACTATACATTAGATTTTAATAGTTTGAACACCAACTACTAGAGTTTAGAATCCAGAAACAGACCCTTTTGAGGCTTACAGTGTCTTATTGAAATCAAGTTCGCAAGTCATTTTCCTTGGAGGCAGCACTGGGACCATATAGCAAGTCATGCCAGCCACTTGCCCATATTGTCAGCCTTACCAGGAGCTCATTTTTGCAGCCTTTACGGTGGCTCTTAGAGGTAACAAAAAATACTCCCACCTAATAAATGTACTCAATGTCTTTTGTAAAGATGTGGTCAATTTCCTTTATTATGGCAGCTTTCCTAATGTGTATTGTTTTCCTAGATGGTTAAATGCTGCTAGCCTGAAGCATAAATATGAACCGAGAAGAGAGTTTTTAATATGTATTCATTTACACAATAGTCAATAATGGTCTTATGTGTCAATCAACATTTAGTTACTTATAAAGTTGGTATTTCTAGCCTAATC